ATATACATATATATATATATATATATATACATATATATATATATATATATATATATGTATATATATATATATACATATATACATATATATGACCTAGCCTGAACGGGTGCGCCTAGCTTCGCTTGCTAGATTTAATATTTTTGTAATGACGCTTAGATGTAGTTTGTTTATACCTTTACAAAGTAAAACCGGTCGAAATTTTTGTGCGCCGTCGATAAACCCGATCGATGACGCGCGAAAATTCAAACGAGAACGCGGTGGTTGACTCGCCGCTGGCAGGAATTAGATGAACCAATTGGATCGACGGGGAATCAAATTGTTCGAATTGGCGATGTATACGAAAGCGAGTGTTGTATAAACTGTTGATATCATTGTAAATGTCTTTTCAAAATTTCGTTGATAAAGTAAATTATGTAAGATACCGAATGTATTCATTTAAACGATTATTAGAGAAACGCTTCGACCATAATTCGTACGAAACGAACATGGTCTGCCAGCGGTAATTGGCAGTCGAGCGTTCTTCCGAATGACCATCGTTCGAAATGTACCGTTATCTCCGATCGTACGTGAATTCTCTGCGATAGTAAAGGCATAACACCGAAGAATGACTTTTACGAGAATATACGTGATTCTCGAATTGAAATTACGCTTCTCCTTGTCACCTGTATACGGACGTTAAAGATTCCCTTCGATCGCATTCAATCTAGCTACGCCGATCTACCATACGTACTATCGATCATCGAAAGAGAACTCGAGTTGCTTAGCTGTTTATCACTATGGAAAGTAGACGAGGCCGATGAGATGTTTTGTCAAAACCGTCGAATGAAAGTCGATCGAGCAGATATACGAATAGCACAAACAAAACAATCCTGCCTAAACGGTGGCGCGAGATTCGTATTTTGAAGCGGGGCGTGTACTTCCGGTCCAACGGACGCGCCGTGTATTTGTGTTACGCGTTTAAAAGTATGTACTTAAGTCGTAAACTTGATTAGCGTCTGCGTTTGTACCTCTCTAGAAGTAATGAACGAACATACCGAACACACGATCGCTAAACGACCTTCGGCGGAACCAAACTATTGCGTGTTTGTATAGTGATCTATATACACCTACGTAAATGCCAAAAGAAAGCAGATATAATCGTCAAACAACACACGGTTTTCTTATTCGCCATCACCTGACACCTCTTCGCGTATAGTATTCCAATCGACACGAGCGACTTGGGCGGATTTAAATATTCAATAAATTTCAATGATTTAAAAACGAAAAAAAGAAGAGAGAGAAGTATATCGATCCTAAAATAATATCAATATCGTCGTCGTACGAACGACGGAAGAATTTTCCCCGTTTCCGTCGAGTTTCCTTCCTGGACGTACAATGGCGGCCATCTGTGCTCGAGAGGGCGTACTACGCGGCACACAGAACGCAGCATTCTGAATATTCAATTTGAAAATTTAAAAATCACTCACCGAGCTGCGGCACGGACACGTACGTCTCGCAATCCACCAGAAATTGACCGGTTTGCACGGCTCCCAGGGCGACCACTCTTTTCGTCAGGAATTCTATCGTCTGCGGGCCGGTTCTGTTCTCGATCATCGGGTACTGTTGCAACCTAGGGATGCACAAAATGCCGGTCGGAAACCGAAGTTCGTTCTCGTTGAATTTAAGAGGATACGGTCACGGAAAACAATCGGATTGTACACTAAGCGTCGAAACGAAAGTATAAAAACGTTCTAGAATGTTCTTTCCATTGTAACATGTGGCAATCTCGCAACATAACCTCTAACTATCGAGAAATACGTGGGCCGCGTGTAGTACATAAAAATGATCGTTAACTCGTCGGCAAATAGTAAATATCGATGAATATAAAAAGTATTATCGTTTGTAACATTACTTACACGGTGACACCCATTTTTAATGAGAGGTTTTCCGACACACCGGAACGCACAGAAGCAACACGGCACAACACTTGTCAAACGCGAAAACGCGCGTAACTTGAATTGATTCCCGGCGTTGTTGCAGAACTCTGCCGATTTTCAATAGGTGGCAGCAGTGACTCGAAAAGTGGCGACATCTGCACTCGTATAGCGAGCGAGGAAAAGTTCCCAGTGACAGCTGGAAAACGTAATCCACGTTGGGAAATTCCACTCGATCCGATTTTCCTTGACAGATGGCGACAGGGTTCGTTCGAAATCTCGGAATATTGTGATATACTCGAAAGTTTGTTTATGTTTTTAATCGTGCGACAGTGTTTAACACGTTGACTGCCACGCGTATTTACAACAAAATCTCCTACAGGCCACCCGTGCCGCTATAGGAAGCGTGCGCTGTTAATTCATGTCTGTTTCTGTTCCTGCATGAACAGTTGGAATCTTTGCCGAGTACCGAATGGTATAACTTAAAATCTCTGCCCTTATTTTT